GAGTTCTAGACATGTTAAGATAATTAATGTGCGGACCATTTTCATTTGTATAGTGCTCTGTGAACACAAATTAGTTAGCATGAATCACTTAAATGACGAAAAATTAGGTGTTTATTTACTTGTGACCACTCAGTGTATAGACATTATTTCCATAAGTTGCGATATCAGGCATTAAGAGTGAACATAACTCCAGTTAAAGCATAATTACGTAAACTTTACCCAATTTTTATGATCACGTGCATTAGATATTTAGTTACTGTACTATTTAAAAATTGCATATTTACAACCTATTTAGTATAAACATTATTAATTGTAAAGGTGAAGTTTATATAAATTGAAATATCACTACTGCTTTACCTTGTATATCCCCAATTTCATTCCACAGAAACTACTGCCTCCTAAAATATCCATTTGGGATTTGTCCCCTGTTCCCTGAATATAAAAACAATGACGTTAATAATTGTTAGCAATTTTAATGAATTGACATGTAAACTTTTACTTGGATTTGACCATGACAAAGACAACACACGTTTTGAAATCTAAAGTACAAGGTGGCCCACAATATATTTCCTAACTAAGGAAATACAACCATGTCGTTTTCAACTTTTAGCCCAACTCAAACAGTTTTTATTGACATATCTGTAGACTTCTACGTGTGGACCATTGGTGTCTCTCAACACATCTAACCAATATTAGATTTCAGTCCACGTTTGTTGCAACATCTCCACAGTTACAGTAGCTATGGCGTCCGTTATCCTGGCCTTTACCTCTGTGATGTTTTCTATAGGTGTGTGATACACGATATCCCTAACATACCTCCATATTTTTTCCTGTACTGTAATTACGCTGTAGTTACGCTGCATCACAGTTACTGACTTGGTTTCTGCAAACCAAACGACACATTGAGCCTTTTCTTGCACGATTGCCATTTTATGGGATAACACTATTTACTGGAGTGAAAAAATGTCATTAAAAGCTGTTTGAGATGGACTATAAGATGTTGAAAACTGTATGCATGGTTGTATTTCCTTAATGATTTAATTATTAAATTTCAAAATATGAAAGATAATTTTGGATAACGCTGTATTTGGAATGATTAAAATAATAATTCCAAAGATTTACATAGGAAGCTTAAAACCGCTTTTGTTCAAAATTCCATTACATGTAATGTTAAAGATAAATGTCAGCTTCGGTTTGTATGCAAGAAATCAAGAAGAAATTACAAGAACAAGACACGAGATTTAGAGCTGCCTTATCAAATTAATTTGGAGCGTGGCATCGGAAGAAAGTTTCTAAAGCAAAGTTTAGGAGCCGGACTTGCTGGAGATGTGGAACGAGTAACCAATTGTCTTATCCATATAATCCACATGAAATGATGGATTCGTTGAATGTGACTAATTTATAGATGTTTTAAGGATATACGAATTAGACTAAAATGAAGTAGGTATAATGTATATCTTTAAGGGAACTGTTTGATTAGTGATTAAACTATAAACAGATAAAGTTGCAGAAGTAAACACTAGAAATTATGGAATTTAGATATCAAGTAGCGTAAAAAACATCAACTCCCTCTGGTAAAGGTCTAGAAGAACTTAAAGAATTAATGAGATGACTGTTTTCTTCAGAATAAAAACAGAAGTAAACCATAGGATATAAGGTGTTTAATTACAACTTAGAAGGACATATTGACAGAAACCTTTAATTACATAACTATTTATTTAGAATGGAAGAATAAACCACAGAACAGAATGTACTTGAATTGTAACTTCAAAGGGAATATTAGGAGGAACTGCAGACAAAATTATTTAAGAAATACACACTGACAGAAAAAGGAACCTACTTTAAGTGTGGATAAACATGGACAATACACCCTAAACTGAAGGAATCAACTACTGATCATAAAAAGAAGCGTTGTAGCATGATGTGTGATACTGACTCTATAGCTACCATTGTTCTACTTATCTGGTAATGAAAGCCGAGAAATTGGGTAAAGAAATTAAACATGGATTGATGCGAACACCAAGGGGTCATGAGGTTCCAACAAGAGAAAAGTTGAAAATCCACCTCACTATGGATGATTTACCTCGAGGAATATTGCAAGTTCTCACAAGATATACTGCGTAAACATAGATGACGGACTTGCTTCAAACAGTTTAACAGCCTTCGACTTGGAAATCTCTGTGCACTACTCAACAATTATAACACCAAAGGTTGAACTCCCTATACACAACAAGGACAGAAGAACAAGATAATGAAGACAACCAACTTAAAGTACAACAAAACAAAATACAGAAAGTCAGATGATCTTAATCATAGGTCATCTAAAGGTCAATTTGTTGGTTCAGTGCAGTAAATATTGATTTTGTGTTTCGACAAAAAGTAAGTTAGTGAAACGTCTGTTAGACATTGTTACGCTAAACGTGAAACTTGACGAAATAAAATGACTTTGTGATCGTTAAGTGGACTAGACTTTACATTATTTTTTTTATCGAACAATCCAAAAGAACTCGTTCATATAATTACTAGTAAAAAAAAAAAGGCAACTTTCCGATTTATCAAACATAAATCACTTAATTTAGTACTTGCAGCAAATAGACTCAGACTTGACAAGATGTTTACAATTTGATAAAATTAAGAACTAAATAAATTGTTTTGTATATAATTCAATATGATTATCATTCATTCATTCACGTTTCTTCTCAAACTGAAAAACATAAAAATAAAGCATTATCATTAACTCTTATTGTGCAATATAATTCATTGTTATTGAAGTAAAATGACATTAAATAACAACAATATTCACATTCTGTACATTATTCATAATTATGAAAATATCTTCCACCAAGTAAACTGAAGTGCTTTATATATAAACATTTCATAAAGTATGATACAACTATATGTCATTTCCCTTACGCCATATACTCTATCTTCACTTGTATCTACACTAACCAGAGATTTTGGTCCATTATTCTGGAATATAATGTCATCCCACTGAACTTTCCACCACAAGTTCTTTAGGTCGGATTCCAGTTTTACTCTCCTGTGTTTCAAGAAATATTTTATTGTTCCTTAAATTATTATTATTATTTAGATAATAGATTAATCTTTTTGACTTATTTTATTATTCATTTAGTCTAATATAAAACTTGTGACGCTCAAAGGCTCAAAAGTCCTCGAAAAAGACGTAAGCCAAAACGTAGAGTAAATGAAGAAAAAACATTTCTCTGAAGTTCCTTGACGTCTTTATTTAATATTGGTATTTTGTCATATTTGTTAGAATATTCAAATATACGTGCCTTTTTTCTTGTAAACTCCAACGCATAATCTATTAGCATGCATACATCACTGAAATGTGTTACGTGCTTGTTGCACATCTAATAAATGTTTTTAAACATAAAAAAGAAAATATAATATATTGCGACACAAATTACCAAGTAAACATTTGTGAGAGATTGTTGTATTACCAAGTAAACATTTGTGAGAGATTGTTGTATTACCAAGTAAACATTTGTGAGAGATTGTTGTATTACCAAGTAAACATTTGTGAGAAATTGTTGTGGAATGTTCTTACCGGTAGATTTGAAGACCGAAGCCAACAGCTGCGAGAAAAATAACCGCTGCTGTGATCACGATATAACCATATATCGGAAAAGGTTCTGAAAAAAAAAATCCCTGAAGTGACAGGATTTTCTCTTTTGTACATACAAATAAGAATAAGAATCCCCACTCTCGTGAATCTAGGTTTAGAATCTGGGTTTCGATACCCGTGGTGGGCAGAGCACGGACAGCCCATTGTGTAGCTTTGTGCTTAATCACAAATAATTATATTTACACTGTGTTATGTGAAACGTAAAAAACACAAGATTAACTAATACAATGCAGTACGTCGACCTCACCGATAGTGAGCAGTGTATCAACAAGTTTGTACATTGAGAGTTGAATTATGTTTTATCTTTTGAGGTTAGTATATCCAAGACAACGTAAAATGTTACAAATGAGTAAACATCATTTTATGTTATTTATTATTACAATCAGTGGGAATGGTGGGAAATGGTATTCAGAAAGTAAAAGTTAAGATCGGTGCAATTTCGATAACAGCTTTCAAATAACTAAGATTTCGACAATTAACTGAATGTACCGAGAGCTTCATACTTATAATGGTGACGGCATGTTGTATTTACATTCATATCGTTGATTCTTGTTATTTTGGACACACTGTGCATTCATTCTGTTAAACTTCCGTTGTGCAGTGCTACCCTATAGAACATAGAAAGTACAAAGCTAGCGTGTGATTCTCTACTTAATAATTTTAAAGAGAAAAATTCAAATCCTTTTAAATACTCACGAAGGAATCTTACTTTCTAATTTTTAAGATAAAAAATGAAAACCATTTTATGGCTGTTATCGCTACTACTTGTGCAGATCTAGTTTTTATTAAACTCCTTTCAGGCCATGTTATAATGTATGAACTACATTTAGAATCATAATTATGAGGAAGAATTCATCTTCAAACGCCACGTATAAATTAATATCATTTCACATTTTTTAAACATTTCCATGATTAAATAATTTCGAGGCCTCAGCTGGAACTTACCTTCTTGCTGACAGTGTGGGGCATCACCAGTAAATCCACAGAAAGGATATGCAGAAGGGGGCGAGCCCCCTGGCCAATGGATACTTACATCAGGAATAAATTCAAAGGTTTGCTGGACACTGTAGTAAGTAGCGACAGCCTGGTGTGAAACATAAATATCCATTATGTAGTGTTCATACGCTGTCGGCAAATATTTTCCAGAAAAACCGTTTGTGTGAATAGTCCTTAGTTTTTACACTGTTGTAAAATACTGAATAACATTTTTGTTTTAAAATACAATTTTGGAAAAAGTAAATTTATTTATCAATAATAAGTTGCTGCTCTTTAAAACTTTCGGAGTTTAACAATATATTAAGGTGCAATTTCAAAAGTTGAAATTTCGTAGAGTTGAATCTCAAGCGTTAAAGTTTATCTAACAACCGAAGATTTTAAAAATTTATTTTCATGAAATCTTTTTGGTTATTAGGCTCTCCAGTTAAATTACAGTCACCGTTCCGTGGTCATTCTTTCTCTGCTCACAAAGAAACAGAGATGCATTTATACATGTGTTTATTAAGAAATTAGTCTTAAATTAATTTCATTAATAGTTTTATGAGTTTTATTTTATGGGGAAATATAAATACCATTATGTAACTAAATCACTTCTATTCTAGGCAATTTATTTACACAGAACATGTCTTCATAGACCTGCTGTATCACATAAAAACGCTTCTATTCCAATCTTTAGTAAGCTGTAGTGTATATTTTTATGTACACAGAATAAGTCCTCGTAGAACTGCTGTAGCACATAAAACGCTTCTATTCTAATCTTTAGTAAGCTGTAGTATACATTTTTATGTACACAGAATAAGTCCTTACTACAGCTTACTAAAGATTAGAATAGAAGCGTTTTATGTGCTACAGCAGTTCTACGTATATTTTTATGTACACAGAATAAGTCCTCGTAGAACTGCTGTAGCACATAAAACGCTTCTTTTCTAGTATTTAGTAAGTTGTTGTAACAACTTATGTACACAGAACAAGTCATCATAGAACTGCTATAGCACATATAAATATGATTTGTATTCAATGTATTTGAATACTGAATACAAATAAAAACGTAGATGATTTGTAATTTCAATTTAAGGAAACGCAAAGCCTCATACACACACAACAGGGTTACTAAATGATTCAAATAATTCTGTATTTTTGATTGATCATTAGTTTATAGAATATTATCATAAAATGTGAAAGATCTATATATTCATATTTTCGCTATTAACGTTTGTGTAGTGACTTAAGACCGAATTTACGTTTATATAGAAGCATGTATCATCGTTACCATAATGGACTTTAACTTATTTTACAATATGACTAATATTGATTATATGATGAGAAACAAAATAAAAATGTACTGAACATTAAAATTAAGTTCATCATTCGTCAGAAAAATGCCTACATTCTGAAGAAGTAAATTCTCTAAGGACATTTAATGATATAAATTTACATTAGCATTGTGCTAGAAAAGCGGGATATAGGTATACATTTCTGTTGTCAGCGTAAATAAGGTGTTTTTATCAAGAATACCAAAACAATAAAGTCTTGTTAACCACAATTCAATACTCTAATGAGTCTAATTAAAAAGAATTGAAACTTGTGTTACATGAGGTTAGTATTTTCAAAAACATTTAAATATGCAGTTCTTTCATAAATGCTGCGAACTGAAAGCAATTAATTCACTATGATGTTGGATTTATATATATATATATCGTTTATTTTGTTTTTGACGTAGTTGTCAGAAACTGTTTAGAATATATCAACCAAAATAAACAGATATAGTTGATTTGCGCTCTCTTCTCTTAGATCTTAAAATTGATATCCATGTCTAAATATCCGAGCAAACTTTTACATTTAACCTCATTCATCATTAATAATTCACATTCAAATACAAAAGTGTCCCATTTATTTTCTATCATATTCAGAGATAAACCTTACCCTCATTTCTCCAGTTGTAGGATCAAGATCACTGAGGGTATAGTCAGCTTCTCGGTCACCATTGCTGTTAATGTAGATGTCTCCAATTAGGCCTGTATATATATATATATAATTACAATCAAATAAAATTATGTCACATATCATGGAAATTCCAGACTAAGAAAAAGACTTTATAATGTT